CCTCGAAGCCGGCTGGGCTGGCCAGCGAGTTGTATTTACACCCTAAAGTCGCCCTCGCTCGGCTCTCGGCTCTCGGCTCTCTTCTCTCGCTTCCTTCACTCACTCACTACTCACTCTCGCTACCCAGCCGTCTCTATCTCTCTCTTCTCGTTGCTCTCTTGCTCTCGCTCGCTCTCCCTCGACAAAGAGGAAGGAGAGAGAGAGAGAGAGAGAGAGAGAGAGAGAGCGCGTGTGCGTGCGCGTGTGTATGTGGGATGAGGGTGAAAACACACAGCAGGACTGACTCGCAAACACAACAACCGCACTTTACCGCTCGAGCGCAATAATCCAGGACGTGTAACAACACCGACTCGGCCAGCGGAGCCTTCGGCCCGACAATCTTCGCTCGCGTTGCTCGTGATGCGCGAAGCTGCTGGTCGATGCGATAATGAAGCGCGCGCGGGTTTTACGTTCGCGGGAAGCGAGTGACGGTTAGCTGTGTCGGTGCGTACATACAGCGGCACACTGGACCCCCGAGTTCTCGGTTCCTCGTCAGCGCCTCGTGCATATGGCGCGCACCGCCGCCCGTAACTGTCGGCGGTGTGCGCTGGCGAGCGAGGAGCGGTGATTGGCCGAGGTGGAGCGACACAGCTGGCGCTCAGCTGATTTCGCGGCCTCACCGCGAGCTAGTGTGAGTGCGGGACCTTAGTCGTGTGCAGTAGGCCGGCCGCGTAGGTGCGCATGGAGGCAGAAGGGGCTACGTGGGCAACGGTGCCACGGCGCTGCTACGATGGTACGTGTGGTGCACGCGCGAACAGATGTGGCGCGGTGGCGGGAGGGAGAGAGCCGATGGTCGACGGAGTACAGCCCGCGATAAAGAGAGCGAGAGGGCGAGGGGGACGACGACGTCGACGACGTGCCGTGCGTGCGCGAGCGAGGGTAGAGGCGCGGGAAATGTACGCGCGTAAATCGCGCGCGCGCCCCTCTGCGCCGGGACCAACGGCTGCTTATCGAGGGGGACGTTCTCATGGACGAGGAATGGCTTTTTTTTTTCTCCTTTTGGCGGGTGTGCGCGCGCGCGCTTACGTACGTGTCAACGGGGATCGGAGTCCCGAGTGGAATTTTGGCGAAGGTAGGGAATGTGGTGCGCAGACGAGAGACGAGAATGGTTTATCATTGTCAGGGAGAACGACTTTGCCCGCCGATTGTCCATGTTGGTCGTGGATGTTCGAAGCGAGTCGCATAGCCACAAGGTGTTGAGCCTCGATTCGTCGCCGCAAAAGTACCTTTGCATAATAATGTGCCGTTCGTTATCGTTTACCTCTCTTCACACATTTGTGGCGGCAAACGGCTTTCGCGTAACAACCTACCTCCTACAGCGTCACTTTCTTGGTGAATTCACTCGCGCATTCTTATGGGGCTCCGTAACGACGATTGGGAGTTCATTTTTTAACGGATGACGCGATCATCCAAGAGAATCATATGCAAATAATACATTTGCCTCTTACTTATGCTCCATACATTGCGTCGAGCAAATTTCTTGATATTGTTGATGGCTTTGCGCTATATCGATCCTTCCTAATGTCCTTTAAATACATAACTAAATCTCGTCTTTTGCCACCGAGAGTTGAAATCGAAAATTCGCGCATCAATCGATCATTGTTCAAATTGCAATGCAACGATGAACAAACTAAACGGCAAAAACGTCCCGTTGTTTCACTAGAAATCAATCGTTAACAATAGTAATCGTTAACAATACAATCGTTAATAAAGTAATAACACTGCTACCCAAGAAAAAAAAAAAAAAAAAGAAAAAAAAGAAAAAAGCGAGAATATTTTTCTTTGTTTTAGAATTTATGCAAATTGAGAAAACTTGTCGTTATTTATATTACATTGTTAACTCAAGTGACATGTAAATTTATAAAATACCCACGACATTGTTAAAAACTAATAATTATCAATTGACTTTTTGATTTCTTATAAGGTCATGATATTTCGTACGCCAGTGCCAACAAAATGGAACGATTAATATGCTTAATGCAATTAATTTGTGCATTATTTAAAGGTACACGAATGTGGCGGGAAATAATTATCACGATATTTCCCGCGCTACGTGGGAGGTTGATACTCGCGCGCTTTATAAGAAATGGACAAGTTTCTTGATTTGGCGGTCGTCGTGCACAAAATTCATTTCTATTTATTCTAGAATCTGAACCGAAATATATTTCCATTTTCCAGTTAATTTATTGCTATTTTATTTCTATTTGTCTAACTTGCAGATAGTTGGAAAATTAAAAGATTTAAAGACAATATACCACTATGCCATTGCGATTTAATTATTTCATTTCATTTCATTTTTTTTTTTTTGGTTTTTTTTTTTACTTTATTCTAAGATACGCAAATTCTATGATTAAAAATTATTTTCAATGTCAATAATTACAATTAATGGTATAAAAGTCGTGTATAATGGCCATAATTATGACTTATTAATTAAGAGAACAAATGAGAAATTAAATAAATATATTTTTCAGCTTATGTTAATTACAATTAATAATCAATCATAAGTACTATTTGATACATTTGTTTGTCAAGATTTTTCATTTTTCATTAACTATTATTTAAATAAATTTAACAATTTATTAATGTCCAATTTATGCATTACGAAGCAATTTCGTGAATATAATATAAATTATTTGTAAAATTGAGCTATATTTATAAATCGAATATTTAATAATTATTGTTATTGTGTAAATTATATCGATAGAAAGAAAACATTTTTTAATTACTAAATTACTTTTACCTGTAGCGATTAAATTAAGGAATATTCTGTCTATACATATATATATATATATATATATATATATATATATATATATATAATTAATTAGTACAACATCAAGAATAAGTTTTAACGAATTTAAAAAGAAATTTCGAAATCTAACTTAAATTAAGCATTTTTTTATTTTTATTGAAAAAAGTAAGAGATAACAAATAAACAATAAAAAAAATAGTCTGTATAGTTCTGAATGAATAGGAAAATTAAAGGATCGAATTTATGATTGTTTGGAAGAATTTTCACTCTAAAGGAGTAGTACATATAAATTATAATTACATGCCAAGGATTAGGAAACATATTTTTCCATTTATGTTACAAATCATCATGATATATAAATCTTTTCCCAATTACTAATCGTATATACTTGTACTTTTCAATGAAATTCTTTCAATTTCAATTATTTATAACATTACATAAGTACAGTTTCTCACTTTATCAGTAACAAATGACAAGGTAAAAAATAAGAAACATTTAAAAATAATACTTAATGTTACTTCTGAGTTATTTTAATTTTTCTTTTCAATAAGTACTTTAAATTATAGAACAAGTGTTGATGTGATTATAAACGAAATTCAAAATTTTCATGAAACCTACATCTCTGTACTTAAGGGAATTTTTCATACTGTTTTCTAACTAGATTTCGTAATCCACATTCTTTAAAGATATTATTAGATGTTTTAAATAAATAAATTAATTAAAATTCAATTACAATTTCATAGAAAAATATTGTACATAAAAAATATTGTAATTATGCGTACTAAATAAAAAATGAATAGAAAAATTGATAATAATTAAGGAATACGTTTTTCTATGTCTCATTTGTATATTGAAATTATTAATATATTACCAATAAATTGAACAAGTAATTAATATTATAACTACGATAAAAAGTGAAACAATTATATACATATAATCGTAAAATAGCTAGGAATATATGAATTCCCATATCTTGGGAGTACACGATAAAATAATATAATTAATATTACAATAAAAAGTAATACGAGTGTGCAGTCTTTGAACTATAAGACATAAATTCATAAATTTCACAATAATTAATGTAAAACCATACAGTTGAGTAAATACATTAAAAACTTTTGTGTATATTTTATAATGTTAAACTATTAACTAAAATTATCATAGAAGCAATGCTTGATAAGTATAAATATAATTTTATTTTATTTAACAGTAATATGTTTGAATAAATTAATTATATCCATATTATAAATGCAGAAATAACATTAAGATAATCAAAATTTGACACTTTATTTTAAAAAGTAATTTGAAATATTCATGCTTAAAAAATTTTCAAACTAAGAATATATAAAAAAATCTAATATTAATTTATTTGGCAATTATGTTATTTATACATACATTGATGTCCGATTATTGAACAGAAAGCAAATATTAATATTTATTAATCAAATAAAGTAAATTAAAATGTATATATATATATATATATATATATATATATATATATATGTATATGCAATGATAAGAGAATATACAATTAGTACTTTACAATATCTTCATTTGCGAAAATAATTTTTTGCGAATTGCGAAATTGCGAAAAAGTAAAAATCCAAGAATTAAAATAAAATCGTTGAAATAGTATTCAATTTACAATAATGTATTTAATAACAAACTTTTATTTATACAAGCAATAAGAAATCTTAATGTTTTTAACATTGTTACATTAAAAATATTCAAAATAATATGTAAATAATGAAAAAATTTTAATCTTGTACTTTAGATATAAATGACTTGCGCACTGTGTATGTATAGCATTGGCTGACAGGTTGATTGATATTAACCACTTTCACGTCGTGGATCTTTGAAGCTTTTTGAGCTTTTAAATTCAAATATTTGATATTATTATATGTAATTAAAACCTAACTAAAAGCTTATTAGATTAAATATTTATGGTTTCTATGTAAAATGATAATAGAAGACGTGAAATATATCCTTTATTAATTGATGTTAAACTATTAATAAATCATTGAGCATTTAATGGATGTACATATTTATGCTCTATAGAGCAATATTATTTTCATTAATTATACATTGCATTGTAATTGGGAATAAAATTTAAAACCAAAATTAAAAAATATCTGTTTATTTTTCAATGCGAATAATTAAGTA